TGTAGGAGGATTGTCAGTCTATGAGGGAGTCCTCTACTCCCCAAGAGCAGGTGGACTTCATCGCCAATGCTCGGCGCCTGGACCCATACAGCAACACCTACAATGAAGGGTGGCGCCAGCATCCCAACTTCGCCTGGAGCAGCAACACCACCAAACCACCTGGTTTCCCAGCAGCAGCGGGTGGTTTTCAGCAGAGGCAGCCCTTCCACGCTCGGCAGGGGCCACCACCACAGCAGCACCCCTACCAGCCTAGGCAAAGGCAGCCATTCCAGCAGCCCCAGCGCCAGTATGCTCATCCTCCAGCAGTCACAGCTCCAGATAATCAAATGGCTGATCTGAAGAATATTCTGCAGGCGTTCATGACTACCAGCCAGGCGAATTTCACGAGGATGGATCAGAACATAGCCTCACTGGAGGCAGGCCAGAGAAACCAATGTGCCATTTTGCAAGATCTACAGAATCAGATTGGGAGTTTAGCTCGCCAGAACACTACCAGGGCACCGGGTCTCTGCCTGCCACCACTGTTCCTAACCCTCGTGACCCTCTCCAGCAGCTGGACGCCATCACCACCAGGAGTGGAAAGACCACATCTGCTGCTCCTGCCCAGCCTGGTCGAGACGACCCACTACCTGCTTCAGCACCTCGAGCTGATAGTGCAGAAGTGGGGGAAGACAGCAAAGCACCTGCTCCCAAGCCGCAGCCTGTGGTTAAGGAGCATACACCCCAGCTGCCGTTCGTGGAGGCACTGTCGAAGATGCCCAAGTATGCCAAGTTCATGAAAGACCTCCTCACCAACAAGAAGAAACTTGGGGATCTTTCGACAGTGATGCTCAGCGAGGAGTGTTCTACTATCCTGCAGAACAAGCTGCCCGAGAAGCGCAAAGACCCAGGGAGTTTCACTATCCCTCTTGTTATTGGCAGCATGCATGTAGGAAAGTCCTTGGCGGACCTAGGCGCTAGTATAAATGTCATGCCTTACAAATTGTTTAAGAAGCTAGACCTAGGTGAACCTAGAGCTACTAGGATGAGCATTCAGTTAGCTGATCGTTCCATCGTGCATCCTAGGGGTATCATTGAGGATTTGGTTGTTAATGTTGGTGCACTCACATATCCTGTTGACTTTGTTATTTTGGATATAAATGAAGATGTGGATGTGCCTTTGATTTTGGGTAGACCATTTCTCGCCACCGCCAAGGCGCTTATTGATGTGCATAGTGGTAAATTGATCTTGCGTGCTGGTGATGAACATGCTACTTTTTCTGTGTCTGACAATGGGAAACATTCTCAC